TCTTCAGCACAGGTGGAAATGCCGTGTTACTGTACTCCTGTTACACATCAAAACCACATGGATTCTAGCCATCCTTGCTTTTTAGTGTTCTGCTTCCGTTAGAAGCTACAGTGTGTGCCAGTCAAGAAGGAACATTTTGAAAAAAATTTTAAAGTTATTTATCTTGAAAAAGAGCGTGAAGGAGGGGCAGAGAGACGGAGAGAGAGAGAGAGAGAGAGAGAGAGAGAGAGAGAGAGAGAGAGAGAGAATTCTAAGCAGGCTCTGTGCTGTCAGCATAGAGCCCAACGTGGGGCTTGAACCCATGAAACCATGAGATCATGACCTAAGCTGATATCAAGTCAGACGCTTAACGGACTGAGCAACCCAGGCGCCCCAGGAACATTTTTAATTACGGCAGTTAAGACTCTTTTGGGATAATTTTCCCATATAGAGCAACAAGGCCATAGAGCCTTAACACAGGTTGAAGGAAACCTTTGGACAAGATGTTTGGATGCAATCAAGGGCAGAAAAGGAGAAAACAGGATCACAGGTGGTCCTGGAGAAAGCCAGGAAATGGAAGCAAATTTCAGGGACACTCCTGGGGTGATCTATGTCAAGTGGGAACTCTTCAGTCATCAACAGGGGCCCCGGATCTAACTGCAAGGTCATCCCACTCGCACATGCTCAACATGTGCCCTTGGTATTAGGGTCGCTGGTGTCACACCTGACCAACATGGATTCCTGTGTTGGGATGATGGACTGGTTACCTAAGTGCCATCCAGCATGGCAGCTGCCACCCACACACACAGCAATGGAGCAGCTGGACTACTGCTAGCGCGACCGGCCGGAAAGCTGAATTTTACATGTTAGTTAGCTCACATTTAAATTAAGCATGTGTGGCTGGTGGCTGATGCACCGGCCACTGCAGGTGTGAGCCTTGCTTCCCCAAGGGTGGTGTGCAGACGAGCAGCATAGGACCCTCTGTGAGCTTGTTAGAAATGCAAAGTATTTCTGACTTCACCTGGAGTTCCTGAAGTAAGTTCCACAGCGTAACAAGATAACCAGGATTCCCATGCACGTTAAAGTTTGGACAGCATTTACTTAGAGTAGTGGGGGGGGGG